TATGTATATATTTTTAGACATAATGCTGTTGCATAGTTAGTGCACTATAGTACAGTGCAAACATAACTTTTACATGCACTGGGAGCCACAAAATTCATTTGACTCACTTTATTGCAGTATTTGCTTTTTGTTGGTGTGCAACTGAACTCACAATATCTCTGAGCTGTGCCTGTAATATACATTACTATGTATATCTCAAATATTATATATATATGTGTGTATACACACATATGTCTATATACACATACTCACAAATATAATACTAGCAATATCTGCTTGCAGGATTGTTTTGAGCACACAAATGCAATGCCTGGAACTTATGTTACCTCTTTAGAGAGACTGTGAATTGCAGTCTGAAATAGCCACAGCACCCTCATTTTAAGACTCCAGTGGGACTCACCAGTATCTGATAGTTCTTTGTTTCTGTGTCAGTGTCTGTTTCCCCCCTTATGTACGGAAGCCCCACAAAAATAGGGGCTTTGTTTTTCTTGCTCACTGCTGATTCCTCGTGACCTAGGACAATCCCCAGCACATAGTACATGCTTAGTAAGTTTTTGTGTTCGGGTTGGGGAATCAGTTCATTCAAAGAGCTTAATAAAAGGTAGGGTTTACTCTTCTTTCCTGACTTTTCAAAGTCTGTCCCAAATCCAACCTAGCTTATGTTATGTTAGACTGTTTCTCCTAAAATGTTGATTTTAATCATGTTTGCTTCTGCTCCAGATCTCCAAAGAGCCCTTATAATAGTTCAAAGCTTTTCATAAACCAGGACTGCCTTTGGGTAGTTCAGCTTTCCAGCCAAAGTGACCCCTTAATGTTTCTCTGGACATATCTTATTTTGCTTATCCTATGTCCATAATCTTTCCTCCTCCTGGAAAGCCCTTACCTTCCATTCTGCAGACACAGATACTGTTCTTCTATTAAGCCAGTATTCGCAGCATATTTTCTGAAGGTACCATATAGTTCTGTGAGATACCAATGCTCAAGATCCTCTGACTTCTGTTCTTGTGTTTCCACTACACTGTTTACCAGTATGCATTCTGAGAAAACCAGGGGACAAGAGGGGAGGGGGAAAAAAAAGCCATATAACAAGGTTGAACTAATTTAATTTTGCCTTCTCAGGGCCCTTAAAATGCTGAGAGACAGTGTGAATTGGTAAAAGTAGGTTATAGAATGCAGTGTTTCCAAAACTTGCTTAACCAAAAAACACTGTCTTCAAAGAGCATCTCCCAGATTTGGCACTGCATGAATTAAACTTTGGAAAGTGCTGTTTTAATACAATCTGAAATACACCTCTTTGACAAACTGATCACTCTAGAGTGCTTTGACCCCCTGTTCACTGAACTCCATAACACTTGTGGTATATTATCCATCAGAGTCACTGTTCATGTAGCAATTTATACATTTTATTGGTATTCTTTATCTCCACAACCTAATTAGAAGTTCTTGGAGGGACTGAGCCCCTCTGTGCCTAGCACGTTAGCCGTGCACACAGCTGATGGTGAGAAAGTGCCCACTTAGTACATGAGTGGGACTTTCCCATTCTTTGCATGTTCTCAGAACTTTAACAATGTCTCCTTGCTCATGGCCTTGAAGGTCTCTCTGTAACCTCTGCCTTTATATTGCTCTGTGCTTACTAGTTCACACTGAATGCCCAGAATGGTTTCTGTTTTTAGGACAGATATATCATCTTCCCTCTGAAATTCTTTGCTGTCATTTGAAAAGATTTACCTGTAGTTTATTTTCTACAGATGTTATCACTTCCCATCCCAAGCTCCAGCTTCCTATCACTCTGGAAAACCTGGGTACTTGGGCATGGATTTAAAGATACAAACATTTTTTTAAATCAGTGCCTACCAAAGGCTGAGTGGCAGGCTTTTTGTCTGTACAGTACAAGAAAAATAATATTTTATTCCTTTCTTGGGATTTTGGAAGCTACACAATCAACAGTAATGCAAACCTGATGGCATTTTAAAGGGATTTTAGTCCAAGTGTCTTGAAAAGGTTCTGTTTGATCCCATGTCTGATGTTGGCACCCATAGCCATAAAAAAGTCCATTGTCCTTGACATTTTAAGTTAATCAAGTTTAGAGGGACTGAAAGTATCTATAATCAAGAGAATAAAAAATGACGTAGCTGGCACTGACAGCAACCTAATCTTCATGTATTTTGTTGCAGTCTTGTGGCAACATCTACAAGGGCCTGGCTCAGACAGGTGCCTGGGGCTGTTTTGATGAGTTTAATCGAATCTTCGTGGAAGCCTTGTCAGTGGTGGCCATGCAGGTATGGGGGCCAGATGCTGTTCAGAGCCTTGCAGTCTGGATGCCACATGCTGCGGAAGTCTACAGCCTCTTGTTTTCTACCTCTCTTCACCCACTTCCCTATCAGTTTCTTCCCGGGCATTTCCCCTTCCTTCTCTGGACCCAGGCAAGGAGCAGCTTCTTTTCTCCTCCGGTCTTGTGGTTCTTTCTCTCCCTCTCCCCTCTGCCTTTCTCACCACTCTCCTCTACACCCTTCACACCTCCTCCTGCTGGCCTAGCCTCAGGCTGTCTTACCAAATGTTCAGTGTCCTTCCTTGAGGAGGCCATGGCAAAGAGCCACTGTCCCCAGTCCATGGGGGTAGACCCTGCAAATTGGCCTTATTTTGAAACAGCCCAGCATGAAGCCAGTAATGGTTTGTTTCTCCACAATCAGTTCCCTTTTGTTTCTGAAGTTCTGCTTCTGAAATAAGTTCAACCTGGAATTCCCTGATGCTTTTACACTCCAGTCCAGGAACACACCCGCAGGGGACATTCTCAAGGAAGTGGTCAAACCAAAACCCAGGCAAAATCTGAGGCAGGACCACTGAAAATCATACACTCAGCCAAGGAGAAAATTGCACCTAATTGCTCATGCAGTAATCCAGGCTGGAATATTGGTTCAGGGACCATACCAGCTGTGGTGTTCCTCTCCCCCTCTGCCTCTCCTCCACTCGGCAGCTTGTCTGTCGGTGCTCCTTTACCAGTAACTTCTACAAAAATAAGTATACTTTGGTGTCCTCGTAGGTGGGTATTTTCATGTTTCTGTCAGGTTGTTTAAGCAGAATTGCATATCCAATTGGAAAAAAGTATGGCAATTCCAAAAGCAATCACTCTGCTATTTTTAAATATATAACACACTTTTTTTCCTGGAATTTTGCCATTATTGTTGCAACTGACTCTCCAAGCCTTTTGGGTTTTCTGGGCCCAGGACATGCTCCACTGGGACACACTCCTCCACTTTGTACATCCAGCCCCTTGTCCCCACTCCACACTCTGGCCAGAAGTCCCTGCCCTTCCCTCCCTCCTTGGTATGAGCCCCCACAGTGCGGTGGGCCAAGGGGCAAAGCAGCCAGAGCTGCAGATCAGTTGGCAAGGCCTTGGGAGCCCCCCAAAGCGGCGTTCCAAGTACTCAAGGCATTGAACAAATGCTGGAGTCCCAGAGCCATGGGAGCTTTCTGTGTGACACCCTTTATAGGGGAGCTGAAGTTCTAAGGTAAAAACACAGACACATTTTAAAAATGTGAAAAGAGATGAGTGGGTTGCACTTCCTGAAGGCAGCAGTTGCCAGCCTACCACTGCAGGGAGGAGCCTGGCGTGAGACAGGTAAGATTTTAGCAACATGTGGCACCTGGAGGCAAAGGCTGGGAAAGAGGATAACACCACACACTGTAAGGGGATAAGGGAGAGGGGTGCGGAGAAGAGCTGGGAGGATTCATGTGACATAAAGCAAGCCGATGACCTCCCTAAAATATGTCACCAGCAAGGACTTTAATACTTCATGAGTGGGTCTGAGGCAAGGCCGTAGCCTGGGTGGGGAGAGACAGGGGCAGAGCCCTCTGTGGTCCCAAGTTCCAGTCTCTGAAGAGAGAGGTGTGCTCAGGATATCCAATCAAGCCCCCTTGAGAAGCAAACATGGCTTGTGCAGGTAATAGGACCAATCATTTTAAATCAGGGCTGGCCTACAATATAGAGAAATAAAACCTCTGCATCAAAAATACAAGGCAGAAAGGAAGCTACATCAGAGATGTGCAGTTACAGGTCGTGGAGGCTAGAAAGACGTGGTAAGCCTGTCGCTGGTTGAAGGCCCATGGAGGGAAATGAGGTACAGGGCAGGGTGGCCCAGTGGCAAGGACACTTAATGGACTCCGCCCCACCACAGACCTGCTGTGAACAATCTGCATTTGCAAGAGAGCTCTAAAGATTCCTACTCACTGGCAAGCTGGAGACATGCTGCTCTGGCTGCACATTAGCATGGCCTGGGCAAGTCTGAAAAAATAGCTAGACACAAATGCAGTTTCCATGCCCAAAGATTCTGATTTCATTGGGAAGGACCTACGCATAGAGTTGTTTCATTTTTTTCTAACTTCCCACATGGTTCTCATGTCTAATGTTCAGTAAACTTTGAGAACCAGAGCTGAGAAGGAGACTAAAAAGGAAGGAAACCATCTTGAGGGCTGGGGAGTTTGGTTCACACCAGGACCCACAGGATTGAGTGTGGCTGGTCCAGGTGGGTGACCTACAGGGACATGTCCTCTTCATGGCATGAAGGGAGTGAGGATGCAGGGAGGGGACAGTCTGCAGCTATGAAGGGGACAGGGCAGCAGCAGATCTGAGCAGAAATCTAAGAATCAGCTAGACTGCGGTGGTTCCTGAACTTTAGCATGTATCAGAATCACCTGGATGGCTTATGAAAACTCACCTGGTCATCAGACCTCACCCCCAGAGTTCCTGATTTGGCCCATTGGGGGTGGGGCCAAGAATTTGCTTGGGAATTTGGTAAGACCCAGAGACACAGTTTGTGGACTAGTGGACAAGTGGACAAGTCACTTATAGCTCTTGGCCTCTGTTTTCTCAATGGTAAAATGTGTAATCCAGATCCCAGTTTTCTCAACTTTTGGCACTGTTGTCTTGGGCCTGATAATTCTTTGTTACATAGATGTGTCCTGTGCATTGTAAGACATTTAGCCACATCTCTGGCCTCCACCCTGTAGGTGCCCCCTTGTTGTGCCCACAAGAATGTCTCCAGACATGGCCAGACATCCCCTGGGAGAACACTGATTTCTACTAGCTCTGCATTTTTGTTTGTTTTCTTTAATGGGTGGCAAAGTGCCTTGTCTTATTTCCTGGGAATTTAGGTCTCTAAATTATAACAAACGATTATTTGTAGGGCAAAACAAATGATTCAGAACTGGTATACAGTTGACAAGGGGCCGCATATGGCTGGGCACAGTCTTCCTTCTGGTAGGAGGCAGTTTGGGGAAGTGTCGAAAAGCACTGCTTTGGCACCAGATTGCCTGGTTTTTAACTCAGGTTGCCCCCCTTACCAACTGTTAGACATTTGGCAAGTTTCTTTTAACCTTTTATTTTGAACCAATTTTAGATTCACAGAAAAGTTGCAAAAATAGCACAGAATTCCAACATCTCATTTCCATAGCCACCACTAATGTCAACGTCTTACCTGACTGTAGTACAGCTCCTTAGCTGCCTTCTGCCTCAGCTTCCTTGTCTGTTAAACAAGAATCCCCCCATCTACACAGCTGTTGAGAGGACTGAATGGAATGATCATGCAAAAAGGCTCTGAGAAGCACTGGCACATATCAACTACTCAACAAACACCAGGTGTTATTTTGTTGTCATTCCCTTGTGGCTTTAAAATCTCCCAAATCAAAGAGTTTTTAATGGAGAAACAGACCCCTAGGGTGAGAAGTGTAAGTGACTTCTCAGGTTTCCATCTGTACCTACCTGTGTGTACCTCCAGTCAGCTGGGCTTGCAGGTTAATTCATACAGTCCCAGTCCACCTGCTTCTTCCTCTGGCCCAGCATCCTGAAGGACCGCTGGAAGTCGTCAGGGCCTCCTGGCCCTGACCACTGTTACATTCTGATGGCTCATGCAGTGCACTTTGGCTGCTGCTAAGGCAGTGAGGAAATGCCAGTTGACCTGCTCCTGTCCTGCACAGGCTGGGCCAGTGGAGCCAGCTATAAGCACTAACACACCAACGTTAACAGCATTCCTCGAGTCTGCTCAACATTCAACCCCAAGGGCCTTCCTATAGCATTTTTACACAGAAGCACAGATGCCTGCAATCCTCCAGCACATCATCAGTTCTCAGTGAGTGTGAGGTTTCTAGCCTTCAGAGTCACAGGAGGGCATGCTGAGTCAGAGCGAGCTGCAGAAGGGGTCTGGGGGTTACCTTTGCCCAAGGGTGCCAGAGCAATTTGTAAGTGGCAATAAGCTCACTTCCCCATTTCAATAACAAGGTGAGAGCTCAGTATATTTTACAGATGGGAGGACAGGGCTGGAGGAGATAACACAGGCTTCACCACTCCCATATCTCGCAGGGTGACAGGGTGGCAGAGGGCTCAGTGGCAGAGCTGTGCCATGAGCACCATGAGAAGCATCAGGACTCCATCTGTTGGTGGCGCACTGGGCACTGGAGACCACCTTTGCCAGAACGTCATTGACATTCTGTACATGGGAAAGAAGTTTCAGTTGCAAACTAATTGCTGTGAGCTCGAGTGTATTCAGTCATCAGAGCTTTACTCTGGGAAGGAGCTGAATCCTGATTGTGGAACACGCATGTGTTCTGGCAGCCATTCCCTTCCAGGCACTGGAGAGAGAGAGCTGGTCCAGCTGCTGTTTGTGGTCTGGCTGTCTCTCTGTCTCTTTCTCTCTTTGTCTCTCTGTGTCTCTCTCTCACACATACCCATCCCTACAGTCCAGTCTCCACAGAAGCCGTGGCTATTCTAACCACCCTGAATGTAGCTGACAGGCTTGGGGCTCATTCAAAATCTTGCACTGAGCGTAGCTTCCAGGTTTTACATTCAAGAACCCTGAGAGGCTGGAAAGACTCAGAAACATTCTGGGGTCCAGCGCCCCATTTGTCTTCCTCCTTTTGCTGCTGCTGATTTCTGCACATGTTTTTCCAAAGCACCAAATGTGAAAATAAATGGATGAATTTCATTTCTGTTTCTCCTCCCACTGCTATAAGAGCAATCTAGCAGGTAGATAAGACCCAGTCAGGCTTCAGCTTCAATCTCCTCTGGCTCCAGACCACATTTAAGAAAAAGCCAAATCTCTTTAGAAAGGCCCCAGTAGCCCTTGAAGATCTGGCTCCAGCCTCCCGTTGCCACTTTGGCCCTTTCTAGTCACCACCATGAATGGAACACTCCATCCCTAAAGGGGTCACCTGTGCATACACAGTCTGTTCTAGAACATAGTCTGGGGAGTGGCTGTGAGGAGCTAAACCAAGATGAGGATGATCACATTAGCGGTTTCCATGTGAGCTGCTATTTTTTGGCAGCATTTCCTGTATGCTAAGCTCTTTACAGACAGTATTTTGTTTAATCCTCTGAACAATCCCAATAGCTTCATCATGCTGTGGCTAAGAGCCCAGGCCTGGCTCATCACTGAGAAATGGGGACAATGATATTGAAGTGCTCCCCTCAAAGGATCATGGTGAAGATCAAATTAGTTAATGCACAAAACGTGCTCAGAAAGGTGCCTGCATGTGGCTGGTGCTAATACCCTCAGCTGTTTCCACAGAGGGGGCCGACGTTCAGAGAGGTCAGTTCACTCCAAGCCTCTTAGTCAGTGTGTTATGCATATGGATAAGGGTGCCCCGAGTTCTTTTAGAGGTGTAGTCAGGGCCCATCAGTACAGATCCAGCATGCAATCCGTCCTTCACCGAAAAGGGGCCACAGAGCACGTGTGTGAACCATGGGTTCCAGCCCGAGCTGCCACCCATCACTGAAGCACAGTGGAAGCATTTTCTGTTGACTTGTTAACCAGGTGAAAAGCATTCAGGATGCAATTCGAGATAAGAAACAGCGGTTTGGCTTCCTTGGGGAGGAGATTAGCCTGAACCCCTCTGTGGGTATCTTCATCACCATGAACCCTGGCTATGCTGGCCGCACAGAGCTGCCGGAGAACCTCAAGGCCCTCTTCAGGTGAGCGTCAGCTCTGCCCCAGGCAAGTGCCCCAAAGAGATGTTTCTTTTATTTTTCCCACTGAAAATGTATGACATATGTATCAGAAGAAATTTGGAATGCTTTAAAAAGTAGATTTTACAAAACCATCTTTAATATATCACTGATGAAATTATGTTTTGCTTAATTGTATTCTGTTCTTCTTCATATGTATATTATAAAGTCATATTTGTAGTCTACATTTGTGTTCTACACACCGTTTCACATTGGTTTGTTTTTTCTAGTTCACAGTCTATCATAATCCTAGCATAAATAGTGTCTTCTCTTAGGCAGTCTTAAGAAATCTTCTTTCATGACTGCATTTTATTCTATCAACTGCATGGTTCACAGTGTAATTTACGAGTCCCCATAGTTAAATATTAGGACTGTTTCCAACATTTAAAATGAATTTACACATAATGTGGTAATATACATCTTTGTATGTAAGTCTTTTTTTTTTCTGTACGCATGATTATTTTCTTTGGCTCGCTTCCCAGAAGTGGAATCACTGAGTTAAGAGGAAGGAACATTTTTAAGGCTCTTGATACACATTGCCAAATTGCTTTCTAAAGAGAGTAGTGCCAAATGACACTCCTAGTAGCAATGCATGAGAGCACCTCTTTTACTTTACTTTTGCCACCAGTGGGTATCGCCATGTGTGTAAATCTTCTTTATTGTGTGCAATAAAAGAAACACAAATGCATTTTGTAGCAGGGACTGGAGTCTCCATTCTTTTTTCAGAAGAGAAGCTAGCCCAACAAAAAGAAAGCAGAAAGATGCTTCTACTTCATGGCTTTTGATTTTCTGCCTGTGAGCTGGTACCTAACAGAGAGAGGCTATGGGAGCTCTGATAAAGCTGTTGGTCTTGTCTCTAGACTGAGAGACCCAGGCCTGTCTGTTTGGGGATGCAGAGGCTTAGGGGACTGCCTGGAAGCTCCTGTATATGTTGGTCCCTCACATTTAAATGGTTCCCATGGTGGCAAACCCCTGTCTCACTTGGAGAGGTGTGTGGCTCTCCTTCAGGCAGATCCCCAGTTTAGCCAAGAGCTTGTTGGAATGTCAACAGGCTGTCTGAGCTGGTACCACAAGATACAGGATTGTTTGCTATTTGTTTACACAAAGTGTTTATGACATAAGGCTTGTGCTGCAGATAATGATGGGGGTGACTTATCACCCTGGTCAGAATTATTCCTTACATTGTGTTGCTGAATTTCAAAGGAATACAGAAGAAAATTTGGGGGGACAAAACTGAAACATATTTGCAAAAACAATAAATGCAAACACCTACTTTAACATTAATTCTCACAAAACCCCTATGAGATGGATAGTATTAGTGTTCCCCTTGCTCAGTGAGAAAACAGAGTCAACAGATTGCCAGGGTAGATCCCTGTTACTGGGGTTAGCTAGTAACCCAACTAGTAAGCAGCAGTACCGGAGTTTGAACCCTGGCATCTGACTGCAGACACTCTGTCCCTCCCCATCTCGGGCCTGTCATCCTGGGATGCTCAGCAGAGCCCTTGGCATTCTTTCTTCCAGTTTGGTGTGAACAGTGTTTCTTTTTCAAACTTGGTATGAGACCCTGTATATAGTTTAGTATGTTGCCTTCATTAGTTAATGTTTTCCCATGTCATTAAATAGTTTTTCTCATACCACATTACTTTTTGTGGCCACACTGCATTCTGTTGTATGGATGCATATTTAACTTTATTTCAGGCTTCAAAGTAATTTTGAGCATCTGAGCATTTGGTCGCTCCTTTGAGTTTGGATGCAATGTGAAACAACTTAAAGGAAAGATGTAAGTGACTGATATGTTTTTGAAAATTTTTATCTGTGTAGGAAAAATGCAATTAAAGGAATATAATAACCTTAGGCTCCTATTACATACCTAATAAGTTTTGAAGGTGAGTAATTTTAAAATCAAATGTTTCTAGAGATAGAGGGGGAAAATCACAGGAAATCCTTATGCACAGATAAAAGTCCCCTTCTATAGTCTCCTATACACCATTCTGTGGCAAGTGGGGTTCATAGGTACCTACTTTAGATCTCAGCATGAGAGATTTCCACGAGTATGTGGCAAGTACAAGGGAAGCCTGAGCATTAGGGCTTGGAGGTGACGCATGTTCTGAGAATGTGGAATGGGGAGATTCTCATTTTCTTGTGGACACCAAGAGAGACTCAGTTCCTCAAGCTTAGCCCTTAATCTGTTATCGAAGATTACCAATCTAGTAATCCACTAATTACTAAGGCTTTACTGATCTGTGCCTTGTGCAAGGCACACAGGATTCAGGTTGCAAGACTCAGCTATGGCCCCAGTTCTGCCCCTACCTGCTGACATCATCCATCACCTTGGATAAGAGTTCACTTCCTTTATCCTTAGTTAGCTCATCTTTAAATTGAGGGTCTTTGATGCAATAATTGCTAAGGTCTCAGTTTTTGCACTCACAAATGCCTCTGTCCATGATCTCAGCCAGTGACTCTTGTCTTACAAGCTCCCTGTAACTCTGTGGTTGGGAAACCTAATTGGCTCTCTGTCTCCTTGTATGCAGGCCTTGTGCAATGGTTGTTCCTGACTTTGAGTTGATCTGTGAGATCATGCTGGTGGCAGAAGGATTCATTGAAGCTCGGTTATTAGCCAGAAAATTCATCACTCTCTACCAGTTGTGCAAAGAGCTTCTCTCCAAACAGGTGTGCTCCCTAGCCAAACTGCTTACCACTCCTATGTGATCGCCGCAGCTCTGGACCGGTTCTGGGGCCAGGATGTTAGGCAAACATTAGAGTCTTCTCAAGGACACTCACTCTGTGCTCAGCATATTAAAAGCTCTGAACATGTCTATAATAAAGATCTGTGTTCATTTTCTTAGCCCAGCATTTTTAAATGATTTGGTTGCAAAACTCCATTTTTTAAAAGAATACTTAGCAACACATTATAGATCCAGTGTCCCAAGAGAAATCCTACAGTGGCAAACAAAACCCTTGGAGGCAATGGTCTTTATCTGAAGGGGCATGATAAGGGGAGAGGATTGGAAAGAGAGAGTTAGGCAGTAAGGATCCCCGCTTCTCACTGCCGCTTGTCCTTAAAAGGACAAGAAGGACCTATGGCAGGTCCCCCGGCAGGAATAGCACCTTAAAACATGACTGAGCACCTCTAAGTCTAAGCCTTCAGGGGAGTATTTCTTGCCAGCAAGGACAGCCATCAGGCTTCCCTGGGCTGCTCTCAGAGACCCGTCTATGGTTTGGGGGTCTCTGGCTTGGATCCCATTTGCCACCACAACATGGGCTCTCTCAGCCCTGTGAAATCTGTCCAAGGCGCATAACCACCTCCAGCTGAGCATCTGAAGCTACTCTTCGTGCCAGCCACCCACCCCAAGCCTACTTCTCCTGAATTCCCCACTTCAGTACCAGAAACCATCATTTACTCACTTGCTAATTCCAGAACACTGCAGGTTATCCTCGACATGTGCCTCTTCCTCAGCCCTACCGCTTATAATGAATGAGCTGTTGTACATTCTACCCCCTGGATATTTCTCACATGTGTCTCATATTCTCTCTACCCCTTTAGTTTCAAGCACCCACGTCTCTGGCTTAAACTCTTGGAACTGCTTCTCTGCAAGTTTCTCTACCTCTGCTCCAGTTCCTCGAGCCCATTCTTTAGCCACCAGCTAAAGTGATCATTTAAAAATGCTTCTCACTGGTTTTAGAATAAAGACCAATATCCTTAAAAGACTGTGTGGGGCTCTGCCTCCCACCTACTTCCACAGCTGCAGTTCACAGCCCTGCACTGGCTTTCCTAATCTCAGTGTGCACTGAAGGACAAAGACATGGCTGCTGTAATAGGCAGAGGAGCAGACTTCCCTGAAGAAACAACATTAAAGTCCTGACGGCATAGAATTCAGTGAAGCACAGATGAGAAAGAAGTGCAGTCCAGGCTAGAAGGACCAGGTTATCCACAGGCTGAGGGGCAGGAAGACAGTCAGTTTGGGGCAGAGCCACCTTTTCCCCTGTCTTCCTTGTGCAGTGAATTGCAGCATGTGTCACAGCTCTCATTAAATAATGATCTGCTATGAAGCAAGGAGCAGAGTGGGGACTTGAATCTAGTTCTGCCTGAGTGCAGGCTCTGCTCTGTACTACACACTTCCCCTACCACGCTGCTCGTACACGTGGTGTCAGCAGTATGGCTCACTCTCCCCTGGCATCTACTGTCAGGACTTGTGACCAGTGAGTTTTACTTTTGACAGAATTTTTAAGGAACTGTTTTTGGGGGAATTCCTTTCTCAGAGTGTTTGAAGGCCTCCAGGGTGGAGTGTGCGAGTTCAGCCTTGGCCATTTCTAAGAGCCAACAAGCTCCCTCCTTTATAACCCTTCCACCCGCTGGATGTACAAGGAGTAGCCAGACAGGTTTGGAAGTGGTTCTGTTTAGTTTCCCTGACCTCCAGCCCCTGTATGTCCTGCATCTGTGTTATTGTCATCATAGCTGGAAAACTAATGCTAGATCAGGAGCGATGATCCCATGATCAGAATCTTCTATATCACTAGTCTTTTCCTGTGCCTCTGTCTTGGCCCCAGAAGTGACATAATCCTGATGGAATATCTATAACTTTGCAGACACCAGCCCAAGTTCATGGTGTTCTGCAGCACACAGCCCTGGTCTAACCTGCACTGCCGTCCCACAGGATCACTATGACTGGGGCCTGCGGGCCATCAAGTCTGTGCTAGTGGTGGCAGGATCTCTGAAGCGAGGGGACCCTGACCGGCCTGAGGACCAAATCCTGATGCGCTCCTTGCGAGACTTCAACATCCCCAAGATTGTGACCGATGACATGCCAGTGTTCATGGGCCTGATTGGGGACCTCTTTCCTGCCCTGGACGTCCCTCGGAGGAGAGACCTCAACTTTGAAGGTTTGGTTAGGAAGGCGGTGGTGGATCTGAAGCTCCAGGCTGAAGACAACTTTGTGCTCAAGGTACATGGGGTTTTTCCTCCCAAAATTTCTTTGTCTCTTGGTCCTTTCCTTGGGTGATGGGTTTCCTTCATTCTCAATCCAAGGGGTACTTTAGATGTACAAATGTGTATCAATTTAGTAATAATCCAGTTCAATAGCTCTTTATTAGGGCACTCACAGTGTGGAATGAGTGGTGGGGAATGCAAGAGAAAGACAGAGCCCCTACCATCAGGGAGCTGATGATCTAATGAAAGGAAGAAGACACATCCGTTGTGCTACAGCACTTGTTGCCTTCCTGCGAATTACTTCTACATGGTTATAGAGGGGTGATGGTACAATGTGGAAGTCATGTTGGTTCCTCTGCATTTTTCTGATCTTATAAATGTTTTGAAGTGATCAGGATCAAGCTTTCTTACAATTAAAAAATTCCTAGTGTTAAGAAGACTGATATACCCTCCTGCAAGGTGTCCACATCCTAATTCCCAGGCTCTGTGAATTTGCTACATGGCAAAGGTCACAAATGGAATTAAGTCTGCTAATAAACTGACCTGGAGATGAGATGACCCTGAGTTACCTGGACGGCCCAATATAATCACAGTGGTCTATAAAAGTAAGCAGAATGAATGTCAGAGTGACACCACAGGAAAGAGACTCAATCAGCCATTGGGGGCTTTTAGAGGGAAGAAGGGGCCACAGGCCAGGAATGGAGCAGCCTCTAGAAGGTGGAAAAAGTAAAAACAAAACAAAACAAACAGATTCTCCCACAGATCTTTCAGAAGGATCCAGTCCTATCAACACCTTGGTTTCAGCCCAGTGAGACCCATTTTAGATTTCTGACCACCTAAACTCTTAAGATAACTTGTGTTGCTTTAAGTCATTAAATTTGCAGTGGTTTGTTATTACAACAGCATTAGAAAATGAATACATTTGGCAGTAAATAAAGACTTTAAAAAAATGTTAACTTTAGTGCAAGGCTGACCAGTTGGCTATTGGAACCATGGTGGTGTTTACATTTTCTGGGGAGGCTGAGGGAAGGTGAAGGCATTTCCCTGTTGGGTTAAAACTGTAGATTAATGAAGAAGTGTTCATCCAGAGCAGATTTTAGTTGTGATCCAAATGACCTTTATTAGGAGTGAATATACCCATGACCTACCTCCTTAAAAAGGAAGCACAGGCCCCCAGATTTAATGCTGCAAAGAATTGACCAACATGGGGCAAGGTGCAAGTGCTCTTGTGATTTAATTGTGCTTACATTTTTATTGGGATTAGGATATACTGTTGAGTTTTTAGGGCTTCAGATATAAAGTTCTGTACATGTTGAATGGTCTGCCCCAGTCCCATTTCTCCAGAAGTCTATTACTTTTAGTGAGCAATTTTGTAGAAAGTAACATTTTCATGATACATACATGTAGTTCCAAAAGTACCTGCACACAAATAGCTGGGCTGTGGAGTGAGATGTGACCAGTGCCACAAAGGAGGGTCCTAGGGTACAGGGACATGGAGAGATTTTTTTTTCTTGTACAGTACTATCTTCAGAATCATATGACCATCACTTCAGTGTTTATAAGTGTTTTTATATTCAGTATCACATTTGATCCCCACAACATATTCAGCTAATGATGCAGATGAGGGACTTTAGACTTTACAGAGGAGGAAACTGGAATGCCATTACTTTCCCAACATAAGCCACTAATTTATTTTATGGGACAGAGGGTGCTCCTCTTTGGGGAACAAACAGTCTGGGGGCAGGTTACTTCTTCACCCCAGGAGGTGCTTCTAAAGCACACAATACTTCACTGGTTAGGATTAAGCCCTGGTGACATATAAATATAATCGCAAATTGGTATCTGCTTTGATTTCTGAGACCACGTTTTACAGAAGGAAGCAAGACATCACCTGGTCCTCTGCACCTGTAACTGTTTTCACCGGTGGGCTCATAGCTACACCCAATGTCTCTCCTCCCAAGTTCACTGGATACACATTTTAAAGGTAGAGAAGGACAGGAGGGTCTGCCAGGTAGAGGGAAAGGCTCAGCAAAAGGGTAGATGGGGAACCATAGAGATTGTACAGCAGCGGAGAGAGGTCCAGTGTTGCTGAGAAAAGGTATTGGGGTAGTGGGTGGGCAATAGGACTGAAAAGATACTGTGGACCATAATACAGAAGACCTTGCATGCCAGACTGAGGGTTTCCTCTTAAAGGCTCTGAGCCTAAAAGGTGCCCCCACCCCAGAGATTAATTAAATCTGATGTGGTCCCTAAGATGCAGGGCATGGGGCTGATGTCTTAGGATCAGGACAGTCCACATCTTCCCAGATAATCTGGGAGTTGGCTGGGGCAAGATGACCCTCCTTTCCCATTTTCTCCTTTTTTTTTCTTATTGAGAATCTGACCCTCCCTTTCCACAGATGTGTCAGCCCACATTCTCTTTTCTTTTTTATAACAGGGGTGGGGAGAGTGGGTATCCCTGTCTTGTTCCTGAATTTAGGTGAAAAGCTTTCAGCTTCTCACTGTTAAGTATGAAGTAGGCTGTGCGTTTGTCATATATGGCCTCTATTATGTTGAGGTACTTGCCCTGTATACCCATTTTGTTGAGAGTTTTTATCATGAATGGATGTTGAATTTCGTCGAATGCTTTTTCACCATCTATGGAGATGATCATGTAGTTTTTGTCCTTCTTTTTGTTGATGTGGTGGGTGATATTGATGGATTTTCGAATGTTGTACCATCCTTGCATCCCAGAGATGAATCCCACTTGGTCATGGTGTATGATCCTCTTGATGTATTTTTGAATTCGGTTTGCTAATATTTTATTGAGTATTTTTGCATGTATGTTCTTCAGGGATATTGGTCTGTAGTTTTCTTTATTGGTGGGGTCTTTCCCTGGTTTTAGTATTAGTGTGATGCTGACTTCATAGAATGAGTTTGGAAATATTCCCTCCTCTTCTATTTATTGGAAAACTTTATGGAGAATGGGTATTATATCTTCTCTAAATATCTGATAAAATTCAGCAGTGAATCCATCTGGATGGATTTGTTCTTGCATAGTTTTTTGATTACTGATTCAATTTCATTCTTGGTAATTGGTCTGTTTAGATTTTCTGTTTCTACCTGGGTCAGTCTTGGAAGATTGTATTTTTCTAGGAAATTGTCCATTTCTTCTTGGTTATCCAGTTTGTTAGCATATAGATTTTCATAGTATTCTCTCATAATTCTTTGTATTTCTGAGAGGTGTGTCATGATTTTCCCTTTTTCATTTCTGATTCTGATTATATGTGTAAATTCTCTTTTTCTCTTAATATGTCTGGCTAGGGGTTTATCTATTTTGTTTATTTTATCAAAGAACCAGCTCTTGGTTTCATTGATTTTTTTCTATTGTTGTACTCTTCTTCTCAATTTTATTTATTTCTTCTCTGATCTTTATTATGTCCCTCCTTCTGCTGACTTTAGGCCTCATTTGTTCTTCTTTTTCCATTTTCAGTAATTGTGACTTTAGACTATTCATTTGGGATTGTTCTTCCTTCTTTAAATAGGCCTGGATTGCTAATATACTTTCCCCTTAGAACTGCCTTTGCTGCATCCCACAGAAGTTGGGGCTTTATGCTGTTGTTTCATTTGTCTCCATATATATATATTGCTTGATTTCTGTTTTAATTTGGTCATTGATCCATTGATTATTTAGTAGCATGTTCTTAAGCTTCCATGTGTTCATGAGTCTATTTATTTTCTTTGTACAATTTATTTCTAGTTTTATACCTTTGTGATTTAAGAAGTTGGTTGGTAGAATTTCAATCTTTTTGAATTTACTGAGGCTCTTCATGTGGCCTAATATGTGGTCTATTCTGGAAAATGTTCCATGTGTACTTGAGAAGAATGTGTATCCTGCTGCTTTTGGGTGTAGAGTTCTGTAGATGTCTGTTAGTTCTGTCTGTTCTGGTGTGTTGTTCAGTGCCTCTGTGTCCTTACTTATTTTCTGTCTGGTTGATCTGTCCTTTGGAGTGAGTGTTATGTTGAAGTCTCCTAGAATGAATGCATTCTGTTAGTATTGTTTCACATATGTAGGTGCTCCTGTGTTGGGTGCATAGATATTTATAATGGTTATATCCTCTTGTTGGACTGCCCCCTTTATCATTATGTAATGTCCTTCTTTATCTCTTGTTACTTTCTTTGTTTTGAAGTCTATTTTGTCTGATACAAGTACTGGAACACCTGCTTATTACTCCTTGTTGTTTGCTTGAAATATCTTTTCCCATCCCTTGACTTTTAGTCTGTGCATGTCTTTGGGTTTGAGGTGAATCTCTTGTAGGCAGCATGTAGATGGGTCTTGCTTTTTTAGCCATTCTATTACTCTGTGTCTTTTGATTGGTGCATTCAGTCCATTTAAATTTAGGGTGATTATCAAAAGATATGTACTTATTGCCATTGCAGGCTTTGGATTCATGGTTACTAAAGGTTCAAGGTAGCTTCTTTACTATCTAACTGTCTAACTTAACTCTCTTATTCAGCTATTATAAACACAGTGTGATGGTTCTTTATTTCTCTCCCTTCTTATTCTTCCTCCTCCATTCTTTGTGTGTTAGGTGTTTTATTCTGTACTCTTCTGTACTCTTTTGTATTCCCTTTGACTGCTTTTATGAATAGTTGATTTTATTTTTTGCCTTTAGTTAGTATTTGATTGATCCGCTTTCTTTGCTGTGATTTTATTTTCTCTGGTGACATCTATTTAGCCTTAGGAGTGCTTCAATCTAGAGCAGTCCCTTTAGAATACCCTGTAGAGGTGGTTTGTGGGAGGCAAATTCCCTCAACTTTTGCTTCTCTAAAAATTGTTTAATCCCTCCTTCAAATTTAAATGATAATCATGCTGGATACAGTATTCTTGGTTCAAGGCCCTTCTGTTTCATTGCATTAATTATATCATGCCATTCTCTTCTGGCTTGTAAGGTTTCTGTTGAGAAGTCTGATGATAGGCTGATGGGTTTTCCTTTGTAGGTGATCTTTTTTCTCTCTCTGGCTGCCTTTAATACT